CCCACCGCAGAGTTTTGCCTCTGGCCACTGTGAGTCCCTGGGCACCTCTCCTCCCGCTAGGAGCTTCCACTTCCTTGTCTGTCAACGGGTTAATAATACTTCCATCAAGTAAAGGCCTGGGTGTGAAAGTGCTTTGTCGCCTGCAAAGCTCCGCAGAGACGGGGAGCTCCGAGTGCACCCAGAATAGCAGAAGCCATCCCCGTTGTGATGATAGGGCCTGTAAGCCGCAGGCTCCAGCCGCAAATCCAGAAGTACCCCACCTCCGCCGTCCCCCCACCTCTCCACCCCTGCCCCACAATTGCTCTTGGCCTCGGGCCTCTCGTGTCTGGCCCTTTCTCCCGTGAACACCTCCAGCCTCCTTCCTCCCGGGCCTCTGCTCTTGAGGACCTGTGAATGCTCACTGCTGACCGTGGGGCCTCAGACAGGAGGACACAGGCAGGAGGGGCTCCCGGGCAGGGTCACAGCAGCCCCGTCCCTGCCCCCAGGTCTGCGGGGGCTGATGATCGCAGTGATGATGGCCGCGCTCATGTCGTCGCTGACATCCATCTTCAACAGCAGCAGCACACTCTTCACCATGGACATCTGGAGGCGGCTGAGGCCCCGCGCTAGCGAGGGGGAACTGCTGCTGGTGGGCCGGTATGGTGGCTGGGGTGGGAGTGGGGGAGGGGTGCCAGGCCCCAGGGACAGGCTGGGACATGGGCTTCCCCAGCCACGTGAGGGATGGCCCAGGAGGCCCTCCCAGAGGGGGTCTTTGAGGGGTGAGTTGGGGTTTGCAGGTTGGAGAAAAGTCCATCCCCCTCCCACGTGGCTCTGGTCACCCCTTCATGGTCACAGCCCTCATCTTTGATGTATCTCTTTCTTTAAGCTTCATCTGAGGGCATCTCTGCTGGGGAGAGGCCCCCTTCCCCAGCCATCCCAGAGATCTCTCTGTCTTTCCCCAATCTGAGCCCTTAGCCCTCCTGACAGAGGGGGCCCAGAGCCGGTTCTCAGGGGTGCCCCACTTAGGCCACAGCTGTCCCTGGCCTCCCTGAGCTTTTGCCGTTTCCTCCTAGTCCTGCTTGTCCCCTCCTTATCACCTCAGTGACTCACCCCACGATCTTTCTAGACTGCCCATGTAGCCCTCCCTGATAGCCCCCAAACAAGGAATGGGCCCCACTCCCCTCTAAGCCTCCCACAGGGGATCATCATCAGAATCCTCCCACAGCACACATGTCTCCTTGATGCCTCCCTTCCCACCCCCCGCTCCCACAAGGACGGGCTGGGGCTGTGTCGGCAGAGTACCGGGGAGTCCTTTGGGGTGAACTCTGCAGTGGGTGACGGGAGGTTGGCATCTCAGTGTGCGCATGTGTGTGTCTGCTCGGGTCCTCTCCTAGGTCCCACTCACCCGTCTCCCTCCAGGCCCATGCAGCCCCCCTCTCCGCAGGTCAAGGGGCCCAGCCTCCCGTGCCTAGCTCGACCAACAGGGCAGCCTCGGGCTCCCGGCCCTAGGCGCCCATCCTCAGGGCGGGGTCTCTCCCGGAGCTCCAGGCACTGGTCCCAGGGATGCAAAACAGCCGAGCCTCTTCCAGAAGGGCCCTGTCGGGACACGCCACGGGCCACGCCACTCAGCAGGCGAGTGTGAGCTCATCTGCGGGCTCACTGCCTCCTCCAAAACAAGGAGCCTCTCCCTCTTGCCTGGCGGGAGGCTTCTGTGTCAGCGGGTCCTGGCCCCTTGACCTCTTCTCCCCGCCGTGTGGTTTCCCCCGCCCCTCCTCCGTGGCTGTGTGGCCCTGGAAGCCCGCCCTTGTCGGACAGACTCCTCCACAGTCCTTCCAGGCTCACATCCTGGGACCTGACCCCTGAGAGTCCCCTACCTCCCGGCCTCCTCGGAAGCAGGCTTCTCTCCTGCTCCCACCTGAGACCAAAGTCCTAAACTGGACTCCCCTCTACTCCCAGCCACAGGGCCCTTGACCCTCCTTCCCACCTCTCCGACCAAGTCAAGCCCCACCCAACCCAGGCCCTGCCAGCCTGGCTGTGGGCATGCGGCTGTGTGATGTGGGGCAGCTTTCTCACCCTCTCTGGGTCCCGGATCTCTCAGCTGCCAGTTTGGTGCAGATGGAAAGGATCCAAGGCTAGGTGCTGGCCCAGGGTTCAGCTCTAATGTGTCTCCCTCTCAAAAAACCGGGACACCCCCCCACCCAACACCTCCAGCCTCCTCTTGTCTACAACAACACTATTTAAGCTGTGTTTCCTGGATTGTGTGGGGTCCTGTGTCTCTGGAGTCTTGATCCAAGCGGATATGGGACTTACAGAGAAAGGGGTCACAGAGTGTGTCCAGAGGCCTGGGGAGAAGGTCAGCACGGGGCAGGGACAGGCAGGGGGATGCCAATGACCCTGACAGGCTCATTAGGTTGGGGTGAGGCGAGAGGAGCTGTCGCAGGCCTGGGGGAGGTGACAGTCCCACATCTGGGGCCCTGATCTTTGCCAGGCCCCTCTGCCTGGCCCTTCTGCTCCTTTATGTCCCTCCCTTGCTACCCTCTTCTGTCTACCTTCTGTCTATTATTCGGTCCACAAATAGTGCCTGATGCCTGCCTGGTGTCCTGCATTGAGCTGAACAATATAGGGAGCCCAGGAGATCTCAAAGCCCCCACCTGGAGCCCTTGAGTGGCTCGCCTGCAACCACAGCTGTGGCCCAGGGATGGTGGTCTGATGGCAATGTGCGTGCATGGGAAGGGATGGGTTAGAAGGCTTCCTGGAGGAGGAGGGCCTTGAGCTGAGTCTTGGGGGAAGAGGGGGTTAACCAGGGGAGGAGTTGGAGAAGGGTATTCTAGGCAGAAGGAACAGCCTCTGGGCTTGGGTCCCTCTGGAAGTGGGAAGCCCTAGAGGGCAGCGGGAAGGCAAGGGCCCCAGTCTAGGCCGCTCTGGAGAGACCAGGCCCTGCACAGAGATGCTGAGTCCAGTGTTGGACGCAGGAGCCCGCGTGGGGAGGGCAGGGTGGGCCTGGTGTTAATGGAGCCCGCCTAGGCCTTTGAAGAGGGCAGTGCCCGCCTGCCTGCCAGGCTAAGGGTTAATTAAGCCTTAATCAAGGAGACACCTCCTCCCCTCCCGCCCTCGCCCTCAGGCTTGGAAGGGAAGAAAGGGAGGCGGGAGGGTAAGCAGACAGGAAGGACCCACCCCAGCAGCACACTTGGCCTCTCTCGCCCTTGCTTCCTATCCAGGGTCCAGGGGGCCTTGCCCACCTCCCATCTTGGGGTGAGCAGTGTCCAGGTGAGCCAGGACACAGGGGTGAGTGGTACTCAGCTGAGGAGGAACAGATGGGACACCTCACTCCAGCTCTTTCTTCTTAGCTGGAGGAGGTCTGGGGCACCTGAGTGGCTCAGTCATTAGGCATCTGCGTTTGGCTCAGGTCATAGTCCCAGGGTCCTGGGATCGAGCCCCTCATCAGGCTCCCCACTTGGTGGGAAGCCTGATTCTCCCTCTCCCTCTGCTTGTTCTCTGTCTCAAATAAATAAATAAAATCTTAAAAAAAAAAAAAAAAAAGACTGGAGGAGGTCCTTCTCTGTCTAGAAGCCCTCCTGGGTTAATGCTTCCTCTGGGTCCCCCTCAGCCCTGTCCTTACCACAGGGTAATGGGCTCATCTGCTTTCTTTGCTCCACTCTCAGTGCTGGGAAGGGACCAGGGCCCACTCGTCACTGAGTCTGGGCTTCTGGCCCAGTGCTCTGCACTCGGGGCCGGGGCGGGGGGCTCCCAATGGGTGGCTGCTGACTGTGGGCAGCATGTCCCTGTGGCGGAGGGCTCCCACCTAGAGGGGAGGCTGGCAAGAGCCAGAAGGAGTCCCCACAGGGTAGGGAGGCAAAGGAGCTCCTCTGGTCAGAGGTCTCAGGCTTCAGGGCAGAGGAGTCCACATCCCAACCAAACCCAGACCCAGACGCCTGGCCCCAGCCCTTGCCCTCTTAGGACAGAGGTCACCCTGCAATGGGCACAGGTCAGCAGGCCCGGGCTACTGGCATGATGAGGCATGTGACCCCCACAGGCCCCACTCCTGCCAGATCCCACCAGTGTTAGAGAAACTGCCAAGGGGAGAGTTTCGCTGGTATATGGGGGCTGCAGGTCATTCTTGAAACTGACAAATGTATACTGAGCACCTACTGTGTGCGAGGGGCTGGTGCGTCCAGCCCAGAAGGGGAGACAGACGGTAAGCAAGTGGGACGAGAGCTTGAGGACAAAGGGGAGAGCCTGGTGGGGACCTGGGGGGCCCTCCCCAGGGACAAGAAGGAGCAGAGAGGCTGCATCGGGGGCTGTACCTGCGGGCGGCAGGAAGACACAGAGGGTTTGGGTAAGGGTGGGGCTGGCCACCTCCCCAGAGGAGCCAGGCGGCAGGGGTGTGTGTGGTGGTGGCTGGAGCAGGGGTGGCAGGGGGCAGCTGGAGAGGAAGTCTTAGTGATCCCTGGAGATGGGGTAGAATTGAGGAAGGGGCTTGAGGGTCGAGCGCACACGCTGCTTGCCCACAGGTTGGTTATCGTGGTGCTCATCGGCGTGAGTGTGGCCTGGATCCCCGTCCTGCAGGACTCCAACAGTGGGCAGCTGTTCATCTACATGCAGTCGGTGACCAGCTCCCTGGCCCCCCCGGTGACTGCTGTCTTTGTTCTGGGCATCTTCTGGCCACGCGCCAACGAGCAGGTATGTGGGGAATGGGGAGAGCTAGGGCTGCAGATGGGACGTTGGGGGGCAGGCTCCGTTCTCTTCCCGTGGACAAGCTGTGCTTGCTTCCTGTCTCCCCCAACACCCTCCCCCAGCTTGTGTGTGTGCTGGGGGAACCCTGGCCTCCCTGTCACCATGCACCTGCCCTGCCTCCTCTTTCCCAGGGGGCATTCTGGGGCCTCATGGTGGGGCTGGCAGTGGGCGCCACAAGGCTGGTCCTGGAATTCCTGCACCCTGCGCCCCCCTGCGGAGACCCGGACACGCGGCCGGCCATCCTTGGCAGTATCCACTACCTGCACTTTGCCGTCGCACTCTTTTTGCTCAGTGGTGTCGTGGTGGTGGCCGGGAGCCTGCTGACGCCACCCCCGCACAGGGCTCAGGTGAGCCTAACCCCAGCCCCTGACCGTGACCCCTGACCTTTAACAAACTTTGACTCCGGTTCCCCTTCTGACCCCTGACCCTCTGCGACTCTGGAATTTCCTAGCTCTTGACCCCTGTCCCTTTTAGAACTCAGCTGCTCACTTTCCATCCCTGACCCCTGCCCCTGTCTGGGCCCAGCCCTGTCCTGCCACACCCCCATCCCGATCATTCTCTCCAGATTGAGAACCTTACCTGGTGGACCCTGGCTCGGGATGTACTCATGGGAGCCAAAGCAGGTATGTGTGTGACCCTAGGCTCTGACCCTGACCCCCAACCCAAAGAGTCCGGGAGGTGGGGGGCACTAGGTGTGGCCCTGGGGCCTTCATCTCTCTCCTCCACGCCCCTCCTCCAGGCGATGGCCGGATACCCCAGAAGCACGCCTTCTGGGCCCGAGTATGTGGCTTCAATGCCATCCTGCTCATCTGTGTCAATATCTTCTTCTACGCCTACTTTGCCTGACACTCGCCCTGGGGGCAGGAAGCCCAAACCCTTGGAGTCCTCAGGTCCCCCTCGCTTTCACTAACGAGGACACCGAGGCCCAGAGATGTGTGGACTCCCCTCACGACTCCATGGCCGGTCAGCATGCAGGGACTCGCTGAGCCAGCAAAGCAGGAGCCCCGGAAAAGTAGGGGCGCAACGAACAGAAAGAACGTGATATTTCAAGAATCGAGCAAAGTAGTCCTCCTAATGGCAACGAAAATTAGATCTGTGATGAATAGCCTGATACTCATTTTACTGTTTTTATTTTGAAAACACGGGCCCGGATCAGGAGCAGCTCCGGACTTGATCGACTTGGTCGCTGGCCAGCCCAGGGTAGAGGATGAGCCTACGGCCCCCTCCCTGGGCTCTTGCCCCCATCCCCCCTGCTCCCTGCTGCCATGAGATCTACTTCTCCCTCCCTCCCCTCTCACTGCCCCTTCCACCACTAGCCTGGCATCCAAAGCGCTTTCTGAGTCCCAAAGGTGCCGAGACCCCAGGCAGGTGGCCCTCGCTCCTGCTGCTGGTTGCACGTTCTGTGTGGACGGGACATCCTGCCTTTCCTCAAGCCAGGGAACCACTCCAGATGTGAGAACTCCCAGTCCAGCCTCGGCCCTGACATCCCACCTGTGGTTTCCCACCTGTGGCCTGTGGTTTCCCTAAGTTCCAGGGCCCCAGTCTGTGCAGAACTTGGACCCAGGTGAACAAGAGCCAGGGCGGGCAGGTCCTCCGACGGTCCGGCGCCCCAGGCCTGTCCCGTGAAGCTTGTCCGTCGTGTCGGGGCTGCAGGAGAGGAGCAGCTCCCTCCGTGTCCATCACTGCACACTTCCTGTGGGCCTGCAGCGCCTCTTCCAAGTGTCCACAGTGGGGCAGGGGTGTGGGACACCCAAGTGGAGCCCCAAGTTTCATGGGGCTCCCGAGAAGTCAGTCTCCACCTGTTGTCATTCCATCAGTCCAGATTAACAGGTGTGCAGCCCCTGTCCTATCCCTCCTCACTAAGCCAGTTTCCCAGTAGCCAGCACCCCTCAAGGGCCATTTTGGGGGGGCAGGCAGGCCCAGCAGATGGTCAACCCAATTTGAACCCATCCAGCATATGCATGGTTCCTTGGGCAGAGCCCCCAAATTCCTGCAACATAGGAGTCCTCAAGTCTCTCTGAGTTTGGGGCCATTGATGGTGGGAGGTTGGGGGGCTTCTGCGCCCCTGCCCCAGGGCACCCTGCAGCTGGTGGCCAATGGGAAGAGGCCAGTGGGAAGCCCTGGGAGCTCACCTTGCCTGGTGGGCACCGAATTTCACAGTGGCTCTTGGGCCCCGGGGCCTGTCCCAGTTTGTGCAAAGCAGCAGGTGCCCGGGCCCGGCAGTGACGAGGCCCACGTTCTGGTCCAAGACCCTCGGCTGAGCCCCGTGGGACCCAGGGATGGGGCGTCCACGTCTTCTCTCCAGAGCTCAGTGTCTTGTGGATGGATGGACTGCAGGCTCTGCTCCCACCCCCGGGCCGCAACCCGGTCACAGCTGCACCGGCTGGACGTAGCTCCGAGGGAAGAACCCAATGCGTCCGCACAACCGGCCCCGCCACCAGTGGGGGTCAAGGTGCTCCAGGACCTCGATGATGTCCCCGCGGTGGAAGCTGAGCTGTGAGGAGTCCTGGGCCGAGAAGTCAAACTGGGCCTGGGCAAAGCAGGCCTGGGGGGCCTGTGCGGGGAGGAGGTGGTTAGTGGGGAATTTTCAGGAGGCCCCAAGAAGAGAAGTGATTGGCTTCAGGTGGGGGAGGGCAGAATTGAACTTGAATTCGCTTCTCACTCCAGATCCAGATAGATGGCCCCTCAACCCCATGAGCCCCCAGCTGCCTGTCCCTGAATGTCTGCGGCGCAGAGACTGTGTCTGCATGGAGCCCCAGGACTGTCTGGTCCCAGGAGCAGGCCCTACAAACTCTAAAGTGCCGGCAGCTGAGAACGGAGTTGACTGCTGTTGCCCTTCACCGGGCTTTGGGAGAGCATGTCGCCCACAGCTGCTCCCAGCTCTCAGGCCTGGGTTCTTGCCCTATCTACACCCCAAGGCGACCTGGGATAAGACTCTGCCCTTGTAGGACTCAGTTTCCCCAAACTGCAAATAGCAGCGGGACAAAGCTCTCTGCAGGCACGTCGGCCTGGCGCCATGACGATTACACCCAGTGTCCCCGCCCTGCCTGTCCCACCAGGATCTCTGTCCTGAGCCTGTGGAATCTTATCCAGGATGGGTGATAGGATCAGCAGACGGGCTCTAATGAGCGGTTCTCTGCCCAGGAAGGAGGAGGCGGTAGCATGGGTACTAGGGGACTGAGCCAGTTCTGGAGTGATCCCACAGGGTGGGTGACCCCAGAGCCTAGGCTGGAGGAAAGCAGTGGGCGTGGGGAGCCCTCAGGCAGAGCCGCCTCCCCCACCCCCACGCCGGCCTCCCGCCCCTGGCCAGCTCTATCGGACTCTGTCACATTCTCCAGGGGCAGATCTGGCCCAGGCAGTGGAGGGGAGAAGATGGAGATCGGGGACAGAGGCCTAGCAGGGGAACAGTTTGCTAAGACCGCGAGCTCACAGCTAACCCAGCCCCCATGGGCTGAGGAGGCCAAACATGCTGGGGGCACAGAGAGGGCATTAATGGGGGGTCTCCCAAGGCATGCTTTGACTCTCCTGGCCCATGAGATCCTAGGGCTCATTATATTGGACAGTGGGGAAACTGAGGCCCAGTTGAGGACTGAACTGACCCTGAGGTCACACGTGCTAGGGGTCTAGGAACAGGCAGGACTAGAGCCTCTCTGGGGCAGCCCTGCATCCCCTCCCCAGGATTTGCACTCTGGACCCTCTGCAGAGCCCAAGCTCATGTGGGCAGTCCTAGGGTCCTGACCTCTAGCCCCAGGCCTTGCCGACATCCCCTTCCCGAAGAAAACAGCACTTGTCGGAGCTAATAACCCCGTTGGCTGCTGTCATCATTCTAATCACACCCTGAGCCCGGCCAGCACGTCGCCCACGAACTCTCCTCACACTGCCCCCAACCCCACCCAAGCCCTGCTCCTGGGGGCAGAAACTGGTACGGAGCCAACCCCACAGGTGGTCCTGGGTGAGCCTCAGTTTCTTCAATCGTACAATGGCGACGATGAGGCCCCCAGCGGACTCAGGAGGGTTGGCAGGGTGTCGTACCCTCGTGCATTCAGAAGGCACGGAGGACCTGTGACCACGCACGGCGCCGGTACCTGAGCACAAGCCAGACACGGGGTGCCCCCTGCAATGTCCACTCTGCTCCTTCCCTTTCCCTCTGCGTTTCCACCCTTGCTTGTCCTCCCGCGGCGCCCCCAGGATAGGACTTCAGAGTCTGGGCTGGCCCCCTCTCCCGACGCGGGGCTGCAGGGAAGGAAGGGAGGCCACGCCCACGCCCCGCCCCGGCAGGTGTCTCCGCCCCCGCGGAGCCGCCCGCCCGCCTACCTTGAGCGGGGTCTCCTCGTCCCGCAGGAAGACCTGGCGCTGCTTGGCGATGGTGGTGGTGCGGTAGAAATCCACCAGCTCGTTCAGGGAGTTGAACTTCTCTTCCCACAGGAAGTACTTCCCAGAGGCCTCGCGTAGCACCTTGAAATGCTGCACCTGGTCGCCGTAGCTGGGGGAGAGGCGCCGCCTGAGCCGGGTCGCCGGGAGGGTGGGGGGCTGTCCCTGCTCGCACAGCACTCCCCCCGCCCCCCGCACCCCGCTCCGGGCCTCCCTCCTCACCCTCACCGGGAAGCTGGCCGCTCTGGCTCCCGGTGCCACCTGCGGGTGGGAGAAGGGACAGGGCCCGGGCCCGCTGACCTGGCCTGGATGGGAGACCTGGTGACTCCCCCTCGGCGGTGGGGTGTGGAATTACGGGTGTGGGCCCTGGAACAGACCCCTTGGCCGCTGTGCGACTTTGGGCAAATCACCGAACTTCTCTAAACCTCAGCTTCTTCATAATGGTAGTGACTCCCTTCCAGATAAGTGTTCAGAAAATGCTGCTTATGGTTGATTGACGGCTCTAAATGGGTTCCTCTGAGAAGGAGGTGGTCAGACAGTTCCTCCTCTCCCCCAGCCGTGACATTCTCCCCATCCCTCTCCCGGGCCTCGCAGTCGCTCCTGAGGAATGAGTCCTAAGGCCATCCTGACTCAGACAAAGCCTGCCCGTGTATTGGGTGCTTCATGTCTCTTCCTGCCCCCTACCTCAAGAACCAGCTATGGCTCATTGCTCTCCGGATAAAATCTTAACACCTCGGACTCAAGATCTGGCTCCGGTTACGTGCCCAGCCTCATTTCCTTCATACACTTCATACACTCTCTTCCCACATGCCTCATGTCCCATGCCAGGACAGGCCACGATGGATTGGGACCGGAGGTGGTGCCGGCACGGGTTCTGACAAAGGGCAGCACAAACCACTATGATTCCCCTCACTGCTCCGGAAGTGGCCGGGGCCCACAGCATGGCCCAGGAGGTGCAAATCGGGGCCTTTGTACAGTGGGGAAACTGACATTCCAAGTGCAAACCATGACCTTCCCAGGGTCACATGGCAGCAAAGCCAGAACTGGGGCCTCATGTCAAGTGTCATTCTAGCACACTCCCCTGTTCTCACCGTATAACAATAGGAAGAATAATTATTCCAATTGTGGTATTGATAATGTGCCAGACCTTGTCATCCCAAGTCCAGGACTACTCCCTGGGCTGTAGTCCCCAGGAGCCCTTCCCTCTCTCAGCCTCTGTGCCTGGTCAAATCACAACCATCCTTCCTGTCTCTGGTCAGCTCACCTGGGCCTCAGTGTCCTCAGCTGCCCAAGGAGGGAGTGAGGGGGAGACTGCGGGCAGCTGCAGGGAGAATACCCAGCTCCCAGTAGGAAGAAGCTGGTTTAGGGAGCTGAGAGCCCAGGAAGCCTGGGGCTAGTGGGCGTGGCAACGCATGTGTGCTGGGGTCACAGGCGGGCCACTGGGCATGCGCTGGCCCCTTGGCCACCTGAG